CACAAAATAACATTTATTGATGAGATAGAGAAAGGGAAAGAAGTTCAAACTGTAATTGAAGTAGAATGTTGGAAAAAATATAATTATGTTTCACCTGAAACAGAAGTAGCAGATGAATGCTGTTTGCTTATTTGATTGCAAATATATTTTTTAATTTAAATTCTTGATGAATTGCATATAGTTCATTTTCAAATATAAAATATAGTCTTTTATTTTGATTTTACAATCACATAATATATCATATTATAATGTTAATAAAATATGATGATATAATATAAATAATGAATCAAAAACTATCATCTAGAGCAGGATAGGCAACTACAACATCAGATTTATCAAAAAGTAACATACTTTTTTGATCACTGCTCCAATCTATTTTAACAACATGGAAATTTTTATCAAATGGCATATCACAAGCAGATGTACAATTAGGATTCCAAAAGAAAATCTTACTACTTCCTGTACATACTGTTAAAGTTGTAGAATTCTTTGACCATGTAAAAAATTTAATTGGTAATATTTAAACCATTATTGCTTTTAATGTTAATAATTCCATATCCCAAATAAATACACAATTTTACATACCATCAAATTTTGTAGCTATATAATCATCTTTATAACTCCATTCTAACAAACTAATACCATTTTATGTTTTTGATACATTTATTTTACAACCCTATTCCATTTAAGTAACTAATTATATTATTATCATTTAATATACATTTTGTAACTACTCTCTATGAATATTAATCAGAATATTCCTCTTCTTTATATATTAATACATCTTTTGTTATTTTATGTTCTAATTCTGTTATTTATTTAAGAGTTAATAAATTTATTATTCTTAATTTTTCATCATTTGCTCCAACTGCCATTAAATCACTTTAGTTACCAAATCTACTTACTTTTATTCCTAAAGAATATGTGTATGGTTCAAATCTCATTTATAATCCTTAGCAAGGACAATGAAGATTTAAACGAAACTAATTAATATATTATTATTTATATTCTTACATTCAATTCTGTGTCTTAAACACCTATGAATGAATCATTATAAGACCATTATAATAATGCTGTATCTAAAGTATCTGAAGATTAATAATTTAATAATTTCCAATCTCTCACACTATAAACTCCATTAAAATCTTTCTCATCCTTTCTTTCACTCATTACCATAAATCTACCATTATGACTAAATGAAATTTATTTTTGGTTTTTAAAATGAGTAACATTTTTATTATTTAAATTGTAAATTGATGCTTTAATCTATTTTGTATTAATTTATTTTTACTTAAAATTCACTAATCACTGCTAATTAAATAGAATCTGGATACCATTAAATCAATTCAATACTATCATCAATTCTTGCACACCAATTTCTATCATCTAACTTTCTAATTTCTATATATCCCTTTTTAGGATAACTTAATGCAACTAATTCACTATTTGGTGATATTTCTATTTATTAAATTTAAGCATCTGTGATTTATGAATGACTAAAATTTATAGATTATAATTATTCAGTTTCTTTGACAATTACTCTTGTTCCATTGCTTAACACTATAAACTTACTATTTGGTGAAAATTAAGCAAATATCACTCCTGGAAAGATTTGACTAAAGTTCATTTAAATTTTGAATTTTAAATTATATATTATAACTATTCAGATTTTTGTTATTAAAACAATAGTGTGTTCTTTTGTAATTAAGGAAATATTGATTTTTCTATTATTGTTTAAAGAAAATAAATAAGTTTTGACAAAATCTAAATAATTTTTATCTGCTCTAAAGCTTACTTCTTTTAAAATTAAAAATTAACTAGAAGTATTATTTTATTCTTTTAATAAATATTGTTATAATTCATAAAAAATCTGATTACTATTTTTCTTTTTTTCCTCTCTTTTCATATTATTATAAAATACCAGAAGATGAAGATAAAATAGATGAAGATCTTGAACTTGATTAGTTATTTACTTATTATTAAGTTTGGTTCTAAATTTCAAATTAAAAATACTTTTTTATTACCATTATAATTAATTGAACCCTCATCATCACTTATAATTATAAATGTTCTTTTTATAAATCTTTCTAGAGCCTTTTTAGTAACTTTAATCTTCTTTTAGCATTTCAAAGGATTTTTTTTTTCAATAATCTCTATTGATGAATCTGATCAATTTAGTTTGTTTTTTCTTTAAATTACTAAATTTATTTTTTAGTTAATTTTCTAAGATTGCCTTTGTTTTCCCTAAGAATTTAATCAGTTACTACTGCTAGAAATAGACTTCATTATCAAAAAGTACATCCAAGATTTTGAAAAACTTGTATTAATTTTAAGATTTGACCTATATAAATATATCTTTGGCCAATCTTATACTTCTAGATCTTTAAGTATTTAACTTCCAAATTTAATAAAAGCAGAACCTTTTAACAACAGCTTTAGATTGATTGACAGAGTTACTTTTTATAATATAAGCAACATCTTTATTTATCAACCATAAATGTATTATAGTTCCATCTTCTCCTAAAACAAAAGCAGTCAAATGACCATTAATAACTTTTGTCTGAGCTAATTTATATTCTTTATTTGTGGAATCAGTCTTTGTGGATAAATCAAAATTTTCTTCAAGAAAATAAACTTCATTTCATAACATACATCTAGTCCAACCAAATCCTTAAACTTAAGAATTTTCAATATTACAAAATGGTTGTATAGATTGGCATTATTTAGAATCATTCAATTCATATCCTATAATACCTTCTATATTAAGGGATATCATACTCCATTTCTATCCAACTTTTAAATATAAATATATCTTGATATATATATATAATTATAACTGTTAACAATAACAGGATATGATAAGATAAAATTATTCCATTTTACAAGTAAAGAATAGGTCTTTCCTCTTAAACATAATCTATTTCAATGTATTATATACTTAAATTTTAGAATTAATCTGTTTTTGCATATTCAATTAAACTTGATTTATAATTTTTCAACTTATTGTCAGAATTGCCAAAGCATCTTTCCATGCTATAATAATCTTTAATTGATAGTTAATATTATGATTAATATTAAAACAAGTTTATGGGTTTAAAATTATTTTTAAATATTAAATTTCCATTTAAATCAAAAGATTGATAATTATAATCTATTGTATTCAGCCAAAGCCATAAAAAAATCTTTGCTCTTTTGCAAATCTTTCAGAAAAATCATCAATATATCGATATTATGGATTTTTAAAATAATAATTTTACGAATAATAATAAATGTCTCCATAATTGAGGGATATCTATTTAATTATGAATTTGGAATTAACAATCCATTTACATTTACTCCTCATTCATTAATAATTACTACTATTATTCCCTCATTGTTAAATTTTCAAATTATATAATTAATTGATGTTTGTTTATAAAATGATGTTACACCTATCAAAGATGAAGTGCTTTCTACATAATTAGAATTAAATTATTTAAATCTAATCTCAAAAACTTTACTTCATTATTAAAGGAGTAACAAAACAATAATAAAACCTGTTTGTGTTATGGCTATCTTATAATGCGAATTAATATAATTTATTTAAGATTAAATATTTGCAGCAAAATTTTTTTATGAATCATAAACAACTATTTCATCAACAATTCTTTCAAATGACAATTTTAAATCTCTACATCATAATGTTTCTTTTTATTTATTAATTAATCATATAATTGCATTTAGATAGATTTTCCTTTTTTATCTTAATTTTCACTATTGCAATGAATTTTATTTATATCATAATTCGCAATCATCACAATCAAAATTTTAAAGCTGATTTGCAATTAAATATGGATTACATATGAGACAATTTTCATCACATTATTTTTCACATTAAATATCAACCAAGCTATTACCAGTATTACAATTAAAGCATGTTAAACTAGCATCAAATTTAAAACAATTTTATAATAGTTAAAGATTAATATATAAATTATAAAATTAGAAGAACCAACTAGTTTTTGTTGATCTCCTAATAGATTTAGTTTAGTTTTAAAAATAATATTCTAAATATCATTAAAATCAACAATGCATTCATTAAAATCTAACTTCAATAAATACATCATCATTTACAAATTCATAAGTAATAAATCTTTGAGCTTTTGAGACTAACTTAAATTGTTCTATCTACACTTTTATAATTTTGGAATGATTATAATTTTATTGCTTTTTTATATGAGACAAATGTTCTTAAGTTCCATAAATTATTGAAAATCTGTATTACCCAAATTATAAAAATTAACCAACTAATTAAGGATGTACTTTAAATATTGGAAAGTTTAATCTTATTTGAAATTAAACTTATATAAAGAATTATGTTATAAATTATAAAATTAATAAAATAATGCAAAGTGCTACCCAATCTTAGATGTGATATTTAAATTATCAACATTTTGATCTGAATCTATAAATTAGTTACTTTGCAATAAAAAGTATTATACAAATCTTTTAATAACAACAGGAAATTGTCTAGTAATGTCACAACAGCAATAGTTAACTCATTTGTCTAAATAACTACAAATCTATCAAATATTTGTAATTAAACTCTGTGAAGTAATTTAACATTATCCTTCAAACCAAGCTAAGGTAATCAAAAATCATCTAATACTTCAACCTAAGCATATTATATTATCTATCATTCTTTCCTATTTAATGTAATTAAATTTTGTTATTTCTCTTTCATATAATTTATCAAGCTCCATTTATATATCTTATTTCTCATCTATATTGTCATTCCAAACTAATACAAATTCATTATCTGCACTCTCAATGATACTTTTGTGACTTTGCAATTCTCTACATCAGCAAGAACTCTTTCTTATTATTTTGAAATATTATAGAAGCATCTAAATCTTGCCAAACGACAAATAATTAATTATTCCTAAGAGATTGAATAAATATTTGGTTTGGTTAGTTACTTGATTGTAATAGAATTTAAATTTCAGTAATTTTAGGTTCGATTATTCCTAACCTTTTATTTATTTTTATGTAATTATTAGTGGTCTAAAGATAATGATACAACTAATTGGTCTAAACAAATAAAGAATTCATTATAAAATTCAGATTTGCACAATTTATAAACTATAATTATTTCTCTATCTGAAACAACTTAGATTTTATATGGAATATCATTAATGGAATAAGATATTCTTCTTATACATGGTTATGTCCAAAAAAGGATATTTAGTGTCAAAATTCAAATTATAGAAATGTAATTGAAACTCTGCACCATATTCAATACTGCCACATATTGTTGATAATCATTAAAATAGGATGTATACAAATGTTTTGCATAAATTTATTGAAATGTCATTTTCAAGTGTTTCTACTGCAATTAGAAATCTATTTTTACCTGCAACCATTTATATGGATGGACTTACAAAATTATTGCAAAATACTGAATAAAAATAAGAAAAATTTTCTTCAAATATTTTTTTATCCAATAGGATTTAACTACAATAATTAAAGATTACATCCTCTTGAAATAGCAATATAAAAATATCAATCATCTAATCAAAATCAAATCTTTAATCTTCATCATTAGAAGAGTAGTTTTAAACAAATTAGATTGATTATTTATTTTCTTAATATGAAACAATAAATATTATATGATGAATCTCTACTATATCTTTTATTCAAACTTTATAACATTAAACAGATTGAGTTCTAAACTTAAAAAGCAACTCAAGTTTTTTCAATATCCTCTTGATATTAAAATCCTTAATTCTATATTTAAAATCTAATGACATTGAAAATTCAAGGGTTGTTGGATTAAATTTTTGTATCCTTCAGATTTTTCTAAAGTATATATATACATTAGTAGCATTAAAAAGAACAATATCATAACCCTACCTACCTTTCGATATTTATTAAAGATGCTTAGGTTATTTATCCGTCACTTGATAATTACTCTAGCTATAAGAATTATTATTTATTCAAATATTCTAAATAGTAAACTTCCACCATTAAATTATTTATCTTACTAATTATATTTATGAGTGGACTCCAATAGACAAACTTTCAATTCTTAATTTATATTATTACTTAGAGCATTTTATTGTTTAAAATAAACCAAATTTGCAAATGTCAAAACTATTTTAAGTAGAATACTAAAAGCAATTATCTAACATTAGATTTAGCATTTATTATTATTCAAAGTATTAAATTTCAATAAAGAATTGTTATCACAATGATCCCAATTGGTTACACAATCAGATAACGTTAGCTTTAAATCTAATTTATACTAATATAGACTTTATGTGAATTTTAAAATAATAAAGTTAATGGGTTTCCACTAGTCCATTAAACAAGTATTGTTTGATGGTTTTTCTTTTATATTGTAAGTTTATAAATATTTAGATCCTCATTATTTTTGAACTTCTCTTTTTTGAATGAATTCCAAAAAAACATTATTTAATTGAACCAATTAAATTCTTAAATTATTATAATTTACTACAACTAACACTAAGCTTTCTTCTCAAGTTAATCCTTTAATTTCACCACTTCTAAAGTAATTATTAAATTCCCAATTGAAGTCATTTATGCCTGATATTTTGAATAACTAATGAATAACAACTTCTCAATATGTTGGTTATAAACTTAATAATATATTTGCTCTGTTAATTAATAAAATAAAACAAAAATTATTGTTTGATAAAGCTACTAAAGAAAGTTCAAATTATGATTAAGATCTAATATGCTAGATATTCTTACAATATACTATATACTATTTAACCATTTTAATATAATTTTGTTGCTACTAAAAATGTGTTGAGTGTGGCTATATTAAAATAATATTTCCAATACCATTTAAGCTATTTCAATAATTTTGAATCGTTTAATGATATTTTATAACTAAAGTATTATAATTGTATTTTGAGCCACCCCAAGATTTATCTTTATTAGGTTAATAATCGTCTATAATTTTCTAAATTATATATAAATCCCAATGTAATTCTTCATTCATATTATTTATTAGCACTTATAATAAAATAGAATTTAGTTACCTTATCTGCCTAAACTCGCTAAATCATTATAAAAAATTAAAGATACAAAGATGTATTTTTTGTTCTGATTTTTGTATCCATCCAACAAAAAGTCCAATCAATGGACTTATAGTGACTTTAGGTTTTGTACATGTTTTTAATTGATCTCCAAGTATTCTATGATTTATTTGTATAATCTCTTAAAAATTTATTCATTTTAATATGAGCTTTACAATCTTCTTTTAAATTAAAAGCAATTCTCAGCTTCCTGTTGGTATGTCTAACTATTTTCTCCTGCTGTTGATGTAAAAAGTTTAAATTTCCATTTATTGCTAATGATTATTTATTTATTTAATACTCATTTTCTTTATGGTTAAATACTATTTTTTGAATTAGATTTTATTCCATCTGAAAATAATTTATAGAAACATTTGATATGCAATAATAATATGAGATTAATTATTACAAACGAATATAAATCATTTATATTTAAAACAAATGAAAAAGCTATCACTAAAAAAATAAACAAATTTTTGTATTGTTTTTTGATTGCTAGGAAAAATAAATTATTAATATTATAAAATTATAGAAAATAGTAAAATGATTGTTACTAGAGAATTATAATTAATCTCTAAAGATGACAACCTCCTATTTAAATGACTATTATAAAATTTACAACAACATTAAGGATTTGAGAAAAAAATTTATAATGGTTGAATATATATAATTAA